GACAGCTGGATCCTCCTTCATATGGTCTCTGGTTGTCCAGCAGGTTAGCCTGGGCTTGTTTCCATGGTGGAGGCAGATGTCTGAAGAAAAGAAGCTTGTGAGTTCTCTTCAGGTGGAAGGAAACCAGAATATGTCATCCCAGCATATGGCTCTTTGACATAAAAATTATCCTCAGCTGAAAGCAATTTAGAAGCAGGAACAGGTTTGGCTTCCCTCACCCTTTTCTGCCTAAAGATAGGATATAAATTCTCTTTTCCTGGAGACAACACTAACCTCTTCTCAGGCAGAGATGGCACCAGAGGAATCTGCAAACAAATCGTTATTTATTAGTTTCTTGTTGTATATTTATCTTTCTACAATATCCCATCCTTGGAAGCCTACAATCATTTTCCTTGGTCCACTCATTTCTACAAATTTATTGTTCTTTTTGAGGATGCTACATAAGCTGGAGTTATAAGGTAATGCTTTGAGTTAGTTTTCTTTGAGGTTTTTCTTACATTAAATATGTAGCAGGCATTAATAAACTATTTTTTCTGTGAATCTTTTTGGTATTTAAAATAAGCAAGCCAGGTGTGGTGGCTCACATCTGTAATCCCAGGACTTTGGTAGGCTGAGTCCATCCTGGACAACATAGCAAGACTCCTGCCTTTGCAAGAACACAAATACAAAAGAAAAAATAACTAAGGATAGTGTCATGCTCTTGTAGTTCCTGCTACTCAAGAGGTTGAGGCAGGAGGATCTCCTGAGCTCAACAGTTCAAGGTTGTAGTGAGCTATGGATTTCTTCACTGCACTACTGCCTGGGTGACAGAGGGAGGTCCTCTCTCTAAAATAATAATAATAATAAACAGAAATGTATTGACTCAAGGTTCTGGGGTCTGGGAAGCCCAAGATCTAGGAGCCAGCATCTGGCAAGGGCCTTCTTGCTCTGTCCTTACCCAGCAGAAGACATCACATGGTAGAAGGGCAAAGAGAGGACCAGATAGAGACAAAAAGGTGAAGTTTTTTATAATAAGCAGCCCACTCCCACATTCATGGCATTAATCCATTCATGAGGGCAGAACCCTTATGGCCTAATCACCTTTATCAGACCCTACCTTCCAACTCCAAGGCACTGAGGATTAAGTTTTCAACACATGAATTCTAGGGAACACATTCAAACACAGCAAAGCCCCAGCTAAAAACCTGAGATAGGTAAAGGTAAAGTTTTGCCTCCCTTACAAGGCCTAGAATCAAAATGGTCAATTTGGCACTTGTGCTACATTCTGCAGGCCAAAGCAAGTCACAAGATCAGCCCAGATTCAGAGGCAAAACAGCCTCCATTTCTTGATGGCAAGAGCTATAGTCAGATAGCAAAGAGAGTGGATAAATAGCAAGCCATTAATTGTGGCCCTCATTAGTCACCCCATGCCAGCAGAGGTCTCTGCCCCATCTCGGTTTTGGGGGGATAACACGGTAGTCACAGTGTTGTCGTGACTACCCTCTCACAAGTTTACGAGGCATATGGCATCAGCAACACAAGTGTTTGCCTCCTCTGAGCTCCCAGCTTTGGCCTGATTGTCTCCAGCCAGCCAGACCACCCTCTGTGTTTGTCCTGACATGTAATCTGCATTACTGCAGGCTGGCCTGGAGCCCAGTGGGCCAGGAGACACATTCGAAGACTTGCCTAGATTCACAACTTGCAGGGAGAGCTGGACTCGCCTCAAGGCTTGCCCAGAGTGCTTGATGTGATGCAGAACAACCAGAGCTTACCATGAACTTTCTGGGGTGACTGATGTGCAGGGAGAAAACTGGGGAACCAGTTGTCTCTGTCCTGGCACCTTGGGAATCAGGGAAGAATGGATGAGTCATATAGCAAGAGACCTGGGCAGAGAGAGGCCATTCATTGCAGCCATTATTGAAATCTATGACTGAGCAGGGAAAGTGAAATTTGTGGGATACCACTGTTGGGCTGGCTCTGAGGCCCTCCTCAAAGCCTTCCTGGACCCCTTTAGGTTACAGTAATCCCCTTTCTTAGTTCCTGGCATCTTGAACCTCTTTCTTATGCTTCATCGCCTGGATTGACCTCACTGACTGGGACTGTATGTTCCTAGGCTGACTCCTCCACTTGACAATGGACTCCTTCTAGGTGGGGACTACAGGTTGCTTTTCTCCCCAGTGGCCAGGACAGGTCAGAGTGTGGGTGGGGAACATGCATGGAGGAAAGGGATCCAACGCCCCAGCCAGTTGCCCACCAAACCCTTTAATGTCTGGGTACTTGAGATGTTTGTAGCCTAATGGCAAGAGGACTTCCTGATCCCTGGAGACCCGTGTAAACATCAGGGGCAAAGGATGTGCCCTTCCAAGTCTGTGGTGGGATTTTTTGCTGCCATCCATTTCATCCTCAATTGGGTTACCTGTTAGGACCATAAGCATTTAAGTCAAAGGCATGAATTTGAAACCAAGGCCACATATTAATCTGTGTAACCCAAGCCTTTCTGCTATGGCCTGAATGCCTTTGTCCCTTTGCCCCCAAATTCTTATGTTTGTCATATATTTGAAGTCTCACACCTAAGGTGATGGAATTAGGAGGTTAGACTCTTGTGTGGTGATTAGATCATAAGGATAGAGCCATCAAGAGTGGAATTAATATCCTTAAAAGAGAGTCTAGGGAGCTGCCTCTCATTTAAAAAAAAAAAATCTTTTTTTTTTTTTTTTTTGGTCAGAGTCTCACTCTTGTGGTCCAGGCTGGAATGCAGCAGCACACTCACAGCTACTGCAGCCTCAACATCCTGGGTTCAGGTGATACTTCCAACTCAGCCTTCCAAATAGCTGGGACTATAGGTGTGCACCACCATGCCCAGCTATTTTTAAAAATTTTATTGTAGAGATGAGGTCTTGCCATGTTGCCCAGGTCGGTCTTGAAATCCTGGAATTAGGCAATCCTCTCAACTTGGCTGCCCAAAGTGCTGGGATTACAGGAGTAAGTCACTGCACCCAGCCACCTCACCCCTTTTACCATGTGAGGACACAGCTAGAAGGCACTGTCTACAAGAGAGCGGGCCCTCATCACGCACTGCTACTGCCTTGATCTTGGACTTTCCAGCCCCTAGAACTATGAGACATAAACTTCTGTTGTTTATAAGTTACCTAGCCTGAAGCATTTTTCTTTTTCCCTCCCTCCCTTCCTTTTCCCTTCTTTCCTTCCTTCCGAGTTTCACTGTGTCGTTCAGACTGGAATACAGTGGCATGATCACAATTCACTTCTGCCTTGACCTCCTGGGCTCAGGTGATCCTTCTACCTTAGCCCCCTGAGTAACTTGGGTACTACTAGTCTGGAGATAAGCAGTTAGGAGGAAAGGGGAGAGAGAGGACTGGGGAGGTCTAGACAGCAATGTCACCTCACCCAGCTCATTTTTTTTCCTACAGAAATGGTCTCGTTATTTTGCCCAGGCTGCTCTCAAACTCTTGGGCTCAAGCAATCCTCCCACTTCCACCTCCCTGAGTGCTGGGATTACAAGCATGAACCTCTGTGCCTGGCCCAGGCTGAGACACTTTCTAAGTCACATAGTACTCATTAATAAATTACTGGCTTTAAACATCTTCCTCAGGTTATTGTCAGCAGGGACAGAACCAGGATGAGCAACCATGAGGGCAACTCCTCATTTTAGAGGTAACAGTGTCAGAAGTCTCGTAGGAACTGTCATGGTCCCCAGATCATTGGTGATGTGGGTTGATTTGTGTGGCCTCCCATGAGCTTCCTTGCACTTCCCAGAGGTTCTGTGAGCTTTTAAGTATGGACAGAGCACTTACTGGCTCTCATTTCCTGAGCATGAGGCTAAGCTCTCCGCACATCCAGCATCCCTTTAATAAGTCCCCATACTGCCAGAGAGGGTGGTGTGGCTTGCAGGCAGGAATCTTCTGCTCTCCTCCAAGACCTGGCCCAGAAGGACCGAGGCAAAAAAGAAACCAGCCCGGAGCCTTTTTCCTTCCAACCTCCTTTCAAGCCTGATTAATTTTATTCACTCTGTGACTGGTCCCACCTGCCTCCCAGGCATTGAGTCTTCTGCCAACCTCTCATCCTGCCACCTGCTATGCCTGGTTTGCTGTCCAGACCTCCCAGCCCATTGTCTCCCCTTTCCTCCTAACTACCTATCTCCAGACTAGTCCAGGATGTGCTCCAGATTCCATATTCTGATCCCAGAATTAAGGCCCCCTGGATCCAGCTGTGTACCTGGCCATGACTCTGCCTGCTCCACTCTAGAGCGAATCAAATTGGAAAACCCAGCCCTTCTTCATCCAGCAGACAAGTCTCTGCAAGCCTGTTTCACCCTCTTCTTCCCACTGCTGTTCCAGAGCAAAATCTCTCTCTTCCACCTTCCTTCTCAACCTGTGACCTCGGATGAGTTCATTCACTTCTGAGTTTGCTTTTTAAGCTATGCAGGTCTTAAGCTTTCATCTGTATCTTACAGGTAAATTATGTTCATTTGTGTAAGTAGGATCTTTCCCATGAGGACAATTCAAAGGTTCACCCAATGTAGGCGGGGTGATGGGGGTGGGGTGGGGGAGGCCCCTGAGGATGGAGCAGAGAAGATAGTGGGAGACCACAAGAGAAGGGCATCTTCTCTGATTTCTCACTGACGACATGGGGGAATATAAAGGCCAATGGCTTTGATGGAGTGTGGTGCCAGGGCTGTGAGAGGAACAGAGACTAGGCTGTGTGTTTGTGTGATGTACAGACTTCAAGAGTCAGATCACCACAGCGCCCCTCCATTTCCACCTGGGAATGTGGCCCCTCTTAGCGGTGGCAGGACACATCCCGAGGGAGTAGAGTGTTAAGGGAAAAGAAAGTGCTTAAAACTAGGCATGGTGGCTCACACCTGTAATCCCAGGACTTTGGGAAGCTGAGGCAGAAGGATCACTTGAAGCCAGGCATTTGAGACCAGTCTGGGCAATATAGTGAGATTCTGTCTCTGAAAAATAAAATAAAATAAAATAAAATAAAAAGACAAAGTGGGGTTGGGAGCGCGCGAGCCAGCGAGAGAGAGGCAGCCGCGCCCGCCGCCACCCGTGCTCTGTATGCCGCTCTCTCCTGGCGCGGCCGCCGCCGATTGCAGCAGCAGGAGCCGCAGCGGCCGCGGTTGATGTGGTTGGGCCGGGGCAGAGGAGGCCGCCAAGATGCCCCCGTCCAAGTCCCGGAAGATCGCGATCCTGGGCTACCGGTCTGTGGGGAAATCTTCATTGACAATTCAATTTGTTGAAGGCCAATTTGTTGACTCCTACCATCCAACCGTAGAAAACACTTTTACAAAGTTGATCACAGTAAATGGACAAGAATATCATCTTCAACTTGTAGACACAGCTGGGCAAGATGAATATTCCATCTTTCCTCAGACATACTCCAAAGACATTAATGGTTATATTCTTGTGTATTCTGTTACATCCATCAAAAGTTTTGAAGTGATTAAAGTTATCCATGGCAAATTGTTGGATATGGTGGGGAAAGTACAGATACCTATTATGTTGGTTGGAAATAAGAAAGACCTGCATATGGAAAGGGTGATCAGTTATGAAGAAGGGAAAGCTTTGGCAGAATCTTGGAGCGCAGATTTTTTGGAATCTTCTGCTAAAGAAAATCAGACTGCTGTTGATGTCTTTAGAAGGATAATTTTGGAGGCAGAAAAAATTGATGGGGCAGCTTCACAAGGAGTCTTCGTGCTCGGTGATGTAATTCTCTGCAAAATCTGAGGACACTGGGAATATATTCTACCTGAAGAAGCAAACTGCCCGTTATCCTTTAAGATAAACTATGCTTCTTTTTTCTTCTGTTAACCTGAAAGATATCATTTGGGTCAGAGCTTCCTTCCCTTCAGATTATGTTAAACTCTGACTCTGTACAAATGAGTTCACTTCCATTTTCAAATTTTAAGCAATCTATTTTCAATTTATATATTGTATTTCTTAATATTATGACCAAGAATTTTATCGGCATTAATTTTTCAGTGTAGTTTGTTGTTTAAAATAATGTAATCATCAAAATGATACATATTGTTACACTACTATTAACTAGGCTTCAATATATCAGTGTTTATTTCATTGTGTTAAATGTATACTTGTAAATAAAATAGCTGCAAACCTTAAAAAAAAAAAGACAAAGTGCTTAAGTAGAAGCCAAATCATCTAAACTGTGAAAAGAAAAACTATTAGACAAATTACCAAACTTTACTTGAACAAAGAAATCATGAATCTGGCAACACCTTGACCCAGTAAACGTTCAGAACCACCACCCAGCATCTTGGAAGGCAGGATTTCTAGATGGAAACAGGAAGTGGCATACATAAATAGTGATTGGGTACAGCTCAGGATTTGGCTAATACAACATCGGCTGGTCAGCTGGCTGCCTGCGATTGGCTGAAGCACAGCTGCTGTGATTGGGTGAGACTAAGTTATTTGTCACAAGAATGTCTCAGATGGGATGTAGTTTAAATACTAAGTTAGAGCCGGCTCGGTGGCTCAGCCTGTAATACTGCGTCTTTGGGAGGCTGAGGTGAGTGGATTGCCTGAGCCCGCGGGTTCGAGACCCACCTGGGCAGCGAGACCTCATCTCTACAATAAATCAAAAAATCAGCCGGGCGTGGTAGCACATGCCTGTAATTCCGGCTACTTGGAAGGCTGAGGCGGAAGGATCACCGGAGCCCAGCAGGTCAAGGCTGCGGTGGCCGGGAGCGGCCACTGCACTCCAGTCTGGGCGACAGAGTGAGACTCCAACTCAAAAAAAAGAAAAAAAATACTAAGTTAGGTTATAGTTCAACATATATGAAGACAGTTTTAGGCCAAATCTAATTTAAAGGAATAATTTCTGCCTTTAGGTCAGCCTCTCAATTTTGGATGAATACATTATGCTTCCTGCATGTTTTGCTATTCCAACCCTAATGAGACTGTCTGATATATAAAGGGTGGCTGCAAAGGAGCATGTAAGGCCCTTGAGGGGCCACATAATAGGGGCACTATTATGATGGTTGTCAGGGGGACAATACCATGAAATTGAAGAACACTCCTTATCAGGAGCCTCCACAAACGGAACAGATCAAAATCAAATAACTCAAAGTTCAGGCAATAAGGATACTTCAACAGTATTTGAGTCTAACAGGTCAGGTCAGTATTCAGGGCATGATAGTGATTAAGGACCATAGGTCCCTGGAAAATGGCCTGATTTAAAGTATCATCTCACTCATAAAATCATTGTTTATGTATGTCACTTCCTGTTTCCATCTGACAGTGAGCAGCTATCAGAGCACTCCACCCAGCAACAGCGTTCGTATGCAGAAAAAAAGAAATAACATAAGAAATAACTTGATGGGTTACAGTTCAGCCTTTGCCTTATTTGGACATGTCTAATCAGTTTGCACTCATGTCTAATCAGTTTGGACATGTCTAATCAGTTTGCAGCCAGTGATTGGCTGAAAGCTGGCTGCGATGATTGGTGGAGACTTCTTTCTCATTACAAAAATGTACCCTCAAATCAGGTTGCAGTTTGTTTACATACTGAATGAGGTTACACTAGATTGTAGACAATTGTAGAACAAACTGAATTTCATTTAACAGAACTTACTCCCTGTGCCAAGGAAGTTGGGCAAGAGTTTTTCTTTGCATGAACAGAGAACCTGATCGGAATCCAGCCTCTAAAGAGGACTCAAAAGAAAGCCAAGAACGGGGGAGGTAATGAGGGTGAACGAAATGTGGAGTTTGGGGACTCAGTCCATTCTTACTTCAGGGGAGGATCCCACACTCCTGGCCAAGAGAGGCCTGAGACCCTGAGCGCCCCTCCCCCCATCCACCGTGCATTCGCTTCCGCTGCCAGGCGACCGTCCCCAGAGAGGCCTCCGCCTAGAGTTCGCAGCGATGGACTATGTCCAGCTGAAATTCTTCGGAAGGCGTGGCAGCAGCAGATCCAGGGCGAGGTCGCGCTGCTCAGCCTCAGAGTACACGGGCCGGTAGCCCAGCAGCTTCAGTGCGTCTGCACACAGCTCCTGCACGCGGCGGACCCTGGCGAAGGGCAGCACGTGGCGCCACGCCTGGGAGACTTTGAGAGCGTTTCTGGACGTTGTCTGGAAGGCCTCAGAGGGCTTGCCAAGCCCCGATCCATGTGTGATGTT